ATTCAGATTTCCTTGTAGGTCTTCTTTTCAGTGAAGATAACTAGTGAAGTTGATTTTTTTTATTTAACACAAATAAACTTAAATTGGGTAATTTATACAAAATTGCATAGAGAGGTTTGGTTTATGCTTATTTATGTCAAAAGTTCAAGTAAGTGAATATTTAAAAACAAGATAGTCGTCGTATAAACAGTATCTATATTTTTTCTACACCCACATGGATATTAGCTTATCTACGCACAGATTACAAAACATAAAAGTATGCTATTGCGTTCAACTGAACGAATATATTCCATATCCATTCTAGGTTCACTACCTGGAAAACCACAGTTCATATTTTGGATAACTAAAACCATATATTTTATTATGACTGTCGTTGAATAATGTAATATTTCGTTTTTTTTCTAACTTAAGATAATTCGCCCGCTTTCCTTTTGACTTCAAACAATCTAACATGTAGAGTGAAATGAGGTATATGAATAATTTTCCTTCGCTTGTCCTTGATATAATTACATTGTGGTTTCCTTGAAACCTACTCATCAGCACGTATTTTTTCTAGAGTAAACAAAATGCCCCATATTCACTGCTCCTATCGTATACCAAACCTGCATATTATTCCTGTTTTCGTGCTTATCAGCAATGGATTAAATTATATTTAAAAGTGAATTTAAAAATTTAAAATGCTTAAACTTACTTAACTTTGTCTTAACCCTACTGTTTGAATTAACAGAATAGACGTTCGCTATTCTTGTATAAATATAGATTATTAGGCAGTCGAAAGATTCTTGATGATTTTTCTGTTTTTATGGACTTATTCAGATAAGAATGTGTATTATCCCTTCTAAATATGTTTGTACTAATTCTATGTAAAAATAATATCTTTTACAATACCGGGAGGTATTTTCTAAGAGGAAATCGAGCAAATACTTACTTAACTTTGTCTTAACCCTACTGTTTTGATTAAGCAGATTAGACTTTTATTATTCTTGCATAAATATATACCATTAGGACAGTGATGGGGAAACTACGGCCCGCGGGCCAAGTCCGGCCCGCGGAAAGGTTTAATCCGGCCCGTTTAAGAATGCCGTCGTGAGAATGTTTGAACGCGTTCTTACTTCGTAATGTGACGACCCGCATAAAAACTACCTGCGGCGATATCCAAAACACAATAGTATCACAGCTTATACAATACAGCTCCACAACTCCGTGTCGGCGTCTTTGATCTGGCGGTCGAGAACCAAGCAAGACGGAATGGTGCTATCTCTGTTAGATTAAAGGGAAAAGTCGGGCCCGGATTAAGCAATTTTTTTATTATTGAAAAAATTGAAAACCTTGACGTAATAAGGTTGGTTACATGCCATGTTAAGTAAGTTTTGGGAAATTAAATTTTTAATTTGTTTTAAATCTGTCAAATATAATTAAAAAAATTATTTAAATATAAATATTACGAAAAATAGCACATCTTTCGGATTAGAGGTAAAATAATTTGTATGTGGCTAGTAAAATCCTCGTTAACAAATGTTTTGAGCTAAAACAGTCACTTCACGACAAATTGTGACTTGGATCCTTTTTACACCAAGGGCTTTAATTGTTAAAGAAATGTGTCACGCTCGTGGATGCAAATCAAGTGGTAACCCCGTGTCTCTGGCAAGTGTTACTCTTCGCGCAAAGGGTTTATACCTAGATAAACGAATGCTTCGACTGAAGTCTGAGAACTCTATGGTATTTTGGAATTATAAAGAATTTGTGCTTTTATTTTAACAATATTGGTTATATTTAGATGTATTCTTATTAATTGAAATACAGATTTGTAGAAGTAATACTTTAACAGTTTTTATTAATATAATATATTCAATTTTTATCTGACCATACCGAAGTAGGGAATTTTGAAACTTTATAGTAATGTGAAATTTGAATTACAATATTACACGATATTACATAATTAGTACTTATTTTAGGTAGGTACTAAATTTGTACTTGGAGAAAGTAATATCGATTTTTACAAGAAAACTTGAAAAGTAAATTAATTTAGTTCCTATTTCTGATGTAAAACTTAAGTTTTGGTTTAAACCAAGAAAACAAATCAATTATAGTTTGTTAAACAAGGGTGGATATGATAGCAATATCACACAAAGACGAAGTTTGAGCACGACGTCGTATGCGGAGTACTCAATCGTCTGATTGTGATATGAACAATCCACTCGATATGGTCAGTATATTTTTTATACGACCCACTAACGAAAATCTACAAATTTAAAAAAATATTTTAGGTTATTTAGACAAAATAACTAATTTTAAAATAATTTACGAAGTTGACTAATTTATAAAATAAAATTGACATGAAAAATTAATTAGTCCTCGGCCTAGATTCGATCCCGGGCTTTTCGCGTGGAAGGCAGATGCTCTGTCCTCATCTTCACCGAAACTTTTAGGACTTTAGTTTTAATACTCGTAATTAAATTAGTATCATGTAGTTTGATTAAAATTTCTTTTTTTTAAATGTGGACACAATAAAAACAAAAATGCTATTATTTATCGAGTCTTCACAAAAATTTTAATGTATATTTAATATCAATAACTAAAATATATATTGACAATTAGTTTAACAGAATTGTCACTTATTTAAAAAAATTTAAATAATAGGAGTTGGGTGACCAAAATATGAACTGTGATTTGTAGATTTAATTTTGTTAAAGTGTTCTCACTACCTAAAATGGATATGAAATATATTCGTAGTTGAACGCAATCACATACTTTTTCGTTTTGTAGTATGTGCATAGATTGGCTAATATCCATGCACAGATTACAAAACGAAAAAGTATGCTATTGCCTTCAATTAAACGAATATATTTCATATCCATTCTAGGTAGTGAGAACACTGCAAAAAAAAATAAATTCGCCAATCACCGTTCATATTTTGATCAACCGACTGCTATTATTTTTAAAATTTTAAATAAATGACAATTCTGTCAAACTAATTGTCAGTATATTTTTTAGTTATTGAGATTAAACATACAATAAAATAAGTTATTCTTTTGGAAAACGTTAGCATGGATGACTAAAGGGTATTGGGTTAATTAATTCTAAAAGTGTGGTACAAATGTTATTTTTTGTAGCCAATTCTTCAAAATTATTTTGAAATATCTTTTCAATATTGAATATTAGTTCTACAAATTCATCATTTGACAGTTGCAGATTTCCAAATGTATCTGGATTGGCGTTATCATATGCCTTTAAAAAGCAATAAAAAGAAAAATCATCTAATTCAACGTGATCTTTGTTATATTTAAGACAGGTATCGCAGAGGAGTGGATCCGCAAGGCTTTTATTAAAAGGTAACCACACACATACCTGATAAAATTTTTCTGTATCAATTCGTCTTTACAATAATTTAGGGAGTTAATAATTTTATCATAAAATAAAATACAAGGTGTTCCATTTAAAAAACATACATTTTAATTTGCCAGGCAAAAACGTGACACCCTGTATATCCAAAGATATTTTTAAAATATGTAGGTATTTTTCAAATCCATATAACTTTTATTTAAAACTTTCTTGCGTGTCTACAACAAAATAATGAACAATAACGCACTAATGGGATACCCTGTATAAATTATATTTTTAACAATGAAAATTTCTTATAATGTGGTACTTATCGGTTTGGGTCCTTGGGAAAACTAAAGAATGTTTTCTTGCAGGTATAACCCTTATTAAAACAGCTTTTGACTGCACAAACAGAATGATGTCTTTTTTTTTCACTCATTCTACTCATAGCTAAAGAGTCACCAAAATAATAACAGTACCTTTAACTCAAACAAAATCAACGAAATTATAGGCTCCACGAAATTATACAATCAACGAAATTATAGGCTCCACGAAATTATACAATCAACGAAATTATACGCACGACTCAACACCTTACCTAAGTACGCTTCTGAACACCAAAACCGTCTTTTCCCTTCGAAGGCGGAGCTTAAGCGATGCGCGACGAAATCGACGCAAAATGTTGCCGCCAAGAGAGTGTTTTAGCTGTATTGTTAAGCTGTGGTGCCGTCGTGAGAATGTTTGAACGCGTTCTTACTTCGTAATGTGACGACCCGCATAAAAACTACCTGCGGCGATATCCAAAACACAATAGTATTCTGGAAAAATACATCCGACCTAAACAGATGACTCATCTTCGCTTGAAACTTCCAGACACTCTCGCATTTTCGATTCATTTGCTGCAGTCAACGAAAGGAACAACGACTGGTGCCGATATATTTTGTGAATTTGAAAATTGCATCGATAAACTTCGTTTACCTATTGATAAGTTATGTAATGTAACTACAGATGCTGCTCCTAATATGGTTGGAATCAATCAAGGATTTGTTGGGAAATTTAATTCTAAGTATCCGGAAAATGATGTTGTTTTTTTGCATTGCCTTATACATCAGGATGCTCTCTGTAAATCGGCTTTAGATATTGATCATATACTTAATATTGTTGTAAAACTAGTAAATATGATTCGTTCCAGAGGATTATTACATCGCCAGTTTCAACAGTTTTTGGAGTCCGTACATGCTGAGCATTCCGATATCCTGTATTATTCAAAAGTTCGTTGGTTAAGTGCTGGAAAAGTATTTGAAAGAATTTGGGATTTAAAAGACGATATTGTGAATTTTCTTATTGATAAAGACATTTATAATCAATTTGACGTCTTAGAAAACGAAACGTTGCTTTCTGATTTCGCTTTTTTCACAGACCTCCTCGTACACATGAATAAACTTAATCTCAAATTGCAAGGGAAAAATCAGTTTCTTCACGATATTTGGCAATACCTGAAAAGTTTTAAAATACAGTTATTATTATTTGCTAATCAGATCTCTTAGTCTAACTTTTCTCATTTTCCAAGAATACAATCTTTAAAATTCACTATATCAAACAATAAGATTAAAAAATACGAAACTAATTTGAGAAAACTATCTTCAGAATTTGAAAGGAGATTTCAGGACTTTAGAAAAATGGAACCAGAGTTTAGTATTTTTGCGACCCCATTCAATGTTAATTACGAAGAAGTTGATGCAAAATTTCAACTTGAGTTAATAGAACTGAACTGTAATACTCTCCTGAAACAAACTTTTCATACAGTACCATTAATAGAATTTTATAAAAATTTAAGTCCAGATAATTTCCCAAATCTAATTACTCATGCAATGAAGATAATGACAATGTTCGGCTCATCTTATATATGCGAACAAATCTTTTCAACAATGAAGCTTAGGAAAACTTCTTTAAGAAACAGAATTACAGATGAGCACCTTTCATCAGTTTTAAGAATCTCTGCTTCGCAAATGGAACCGGACTATGATGAACTTTTGATGAAACAGTCTCAATTTCATTTTTCTCATGCACCATCAACCAGTAATGACACCAGATAATAAAGTTATAATACTTCACATCAAGAACTACACTAAATTCATTTTATATTTTGTGCTTATAATTTTCTTACCTTTTGCTTTTTTACTATTAATATAATAAGTGTATGTAATAATATATGTATATGTTTATAGAACAAATAAATGTTTTAACGATTAAGCATTATTCTTTGGCCCGCTACGATTGTCTAGTTATTACAAATGGCCCGTCTTAAAAAAAGTTTCCCCACCACTGCATTAGGAAGTCGGACATTTCTTGATGATATAAGTTTTTTTATCTGCATTTATACAGGAAAGAACGTGTGTTATCCCTTCTAAATACTGAAAAAATCATGCGATTTTTTCAGTAATTCTATACAAAAATATTGTATTTTAAAACACCGAGCGATTTCACTTGAGACGAAACACTCATTTAACTTTGTCTTTTATGTTCCTGCTTTATGAATTGCGCAGAATAGTAATAGTTTATTCATCAAAAAATATATAGTTATAAAAATACAAATGGTAGCTTAAAAATTAAAAGTAATTGAATGAATAAAGGTACACTCGATAAGTGAGTACTCACTTGTTTCGATTATAATACATGAAACTTAAAAAAAAGTACAATAAATTATTATTTAAAAACATTAATGTTGTAAAGATAAAAAACACAAGATTAAAATATACAAATAACTAAAACTAAATTAACTAAAATTAGAATAAATAAAATAGGATAAATATATAAATATATAAGAGAAATTTACTTGATCCATTTTTATAATTAGAAGATTAAAGTGAATTTAAGGGAAAACGTGACAACCAAAATCTATATTATTGAGTGTTAAAAAAACAATTAATTCAAAAAACTAAAGCTGAGACTAGAAACAGACGCAAGTTAAGTATTTCTACATTCTATTATATCTTTAAATTTTTGTCGTGGATTTTCTAAAATAAATTTTTTAAGGCTTTTTTTCATTTTAATTTTACATTTAATTGTTTTTATTGATTCTGGTAGTTCATTATGTATCTTAGGAGCAAGATAGGTATAAGATCGTTGACTAAGTGATTTACTTACTTGTGGCACGATATGGAGATTTCTATTGCGAGTTTGATAGGAGTGAGAAGGTAAGTTAGCATGTTTAGTATTAAGTTGATATTTTTGAGCCATGCAGTAGAAGTATATTTGCCTAAGATCCATGATTTGACTTTCGGCATATAATAGGTCACTTGAGTATCGATATTCTTTCGACAACATAAGTTTTAAAAATCTTTTTTGTATTATCTCAAGCGTTTGGATATGGCACCTTAGTGAGCTTCCCCAAGCTAGAATACCATATCTAAGATGGCTTTCGACTAAGGCATAATACAAAGTTGTTAAACAGCTAACTGAAAGATATCTTTTCAGAAAATTAAACTTATATAAGATACGCTGCAGTTTCTTTACGGTATAATTTATATGGTATTCCCATTTCAGATGACTGTCAATAAATATGCCAAGGTATTTTATTTGTGTTAAAGCAGTGGCGGCTCGTGATAATTTGAAATGGGTGTTCACTTTTTCCAATAATTTTATCATTTGTAAGTTCGGATCAAAACCTTGTACAAGAGTCAATATCACTGTTTTTTTATTATTTGAGTTTGTATTAAGTGTAATTATTATTATCAACATCATACTGTTTTCAAGCATTACAACTATTAATAAATGAATATTTTAGTTAGTGTAATATTTGTTTTTTTTTTAATACGTTGAAAACAATCTAAACATTATTAGTTAGTAAACTGACTTGTCCTCACAATTTGAGATTATTTTTAAATATATATCAGGTAATGTAGAAACTTTACATTGATTTTTGTGTAAAAAATTTTATATGAAACTTTACCTACCATTTTTTAGTTTTTATTGTAAGTTTAATCATTTTCACAATTTGTCACAGATGTCAAATAAAAAATATATTTTTTAAATACTTTTTATTGGCAAATAAAATAAGAACTAAAATGTTTTAAATGTTTATTTTATAAGATCAGTCCCATCCGGTCCCATCACAATACATATTACACAGACACAAACTAGAATAAAGATATATAATGCCTGGCATTCTAGAGGATACTCTTCGTACTTTAACAGACCCCCTTAACCCCCATTTTCAACCAGATTGTTTTCACAATCAATAGGCCTCATCTGCTTTTAGAGATTGATGTTTGCTAAACATTTCAAGTTTATATCATTTTTCAGTTAGGATTTTTTTTTATATTTTAACCCCCCCATATATTCATATTTTTTTCAGTATCAATAGGCTTTATCTTCTTATAAAGCTTAATTTTTACCAAAAATTTCATGTTGATATCGCTTTTCGTTTTTAATTTAGGATTTTTTAATTTCAACTTATCTTAACCCCTATTTTTAATCAGATTTGTTAAAAATCAATAAGCTTTGTCCTCTTATAAAGCTTGATTTTTGCTTAAAATTTTCAAGTTGATTTCATTTCTCGTTTTTGACTTATCGTGTAGACAAAAAACCTGACATCGGACAGACAGACAAAATAAACCTATAATACTCTTCACAGAATACTGTATGAAGAGTAGAAAAAAAATGTATGAGGTAAAATAAACAATTTAAAAAGGTCAACAATAATATTCAACTTCTTTTATCAAAGGATACTAAAAGTTTGAAATAGCAGCACATAATTGAACACAGAAATCTATGAACTAAACTAGTGAGATGCATATCGTAAAATGTTATCACACTTAATTCTCCATATGACACTTTATAAGTGTATTTCACAGAACATTCCAAAGTATTCTTGCTTTCACTAATGTCCTACCCTCATGGCTGCTTTTGCATGTCCAAGTTTACTAAAAAATAATGTGTTTTAATAAATAATAGAATAATAACAATTTTGTTTAAATAGGTAAATCGGCTACATCTGTATTTTTAAATTATTGTTTAATTATAGATAGTATATTAATGTTTTGATATGTACTTATAGGATTGATTAGCCAGAGCATGTAGATGTGGGATGTGACTTGTTAAATGCCTAATCAAAATTACAATTTACGTTTGATACTTATTTCGAGACTTTTTTCGAGACATTCTTTAGTACCAACTGTAAACTACTTTACCAATACCCTTATTTTTATTTAATACCTGTAGTGATTCTAATTACCATAACATTTAATATTTTTGAAAATACTAAATTATACAAACAAGGCAATAAAAAAATATCATTAAAATAAAATATTTCTAGTTTGTATGTAACAAACGACCTTGGTTAGAGGGTAACACAATTGATAATTGTAAACATACCTTTATATAGGTAAACTATTTAAATGTACATACCATTTCTTAGGTAAAACTTCTCATCGAGTATATTAAATTAATTGGCTGATCCATTCTTCTGATTTAGACTTTTAAAGTGAAAACCATTTGTCTCTTTATCTTAATCAAATTTTTATTGTACATTTCCATAATGATGTCAAATAGTTACCTCATCAGAATAATTAAATTTTTCCTTTTAGCAGATTTTGTGGAAAAAAATTTACAGATTTTTTGTTTACTTCTTACTTCATAGTATTTACAATTGTGTACAAAACAGACCATTTTGAAATTGTCTTTGGATGGTCTAGATACTAAAACAAAATACAAAACAAATTATAGTCGTAAAACTTTATTACTGCTTTATTATAAAGTAAATGAACAAAATATAACCTTAAAATATTTTATTTATTTACCTTGCCTTAAAAGTTTTTCTTGAACAATAATTACATTAACACACATCCTTCCAATTTATTAAAGTTGCAGTTCTCAATTAAACACATTTTTTAAACAATCACAAATAAAATAATCTTAATTTTATTAAAATAGATGGAATGACAGTATTGACATTGACAGTTTGTACTTTGATTTGGTACATAGTTGCCAGAATGTTTTTGTTATGTACCAGATTTGTCTAAAAAATGTACCAGATTCCTTAAATGTACCAGATTTTTCGAATTCTATTTGCAGTGACATCTAAATTCATTGATAACGAACCCAAACAAGGAACACAATATATACATATATTTTACACGTGAACACTGATGCATGCAGAATGTACTACATCTAGTACAATTGTGAATTGTACTAGACTGGTAACACTGGTTTGGCAAACTTGTTTGTGAGCGGCGCGCCAATTAATTTGTTCTTTGACAGTTTGAAGGATCTGTTGGCGTGTTTTCATCTCTTTTTAGCTATATGTATTCGTCAAATCGTCTCACTCGTGTTAGGCTCACTCATCATAATGCGCCACAGACAAGGTTTACTTAGATATATTGTGCCACAGAGACGCGATCAGCCAGAAAGCAATGATGTACCAAAAAATATAGATTAACACGTATGAAAATAAAAATATTAAAATTAAATTTATATTTTTATATTATTTATGTAGTTTTAAAATAATGTGTCTTTATGAAATTGAACTGGATGTTCACTGCACAAATGAACCAATGGAGAAACCGCCCCTGTGTTAAAGGTTGAAGAGCAAGATGATTTTTATTTATAGAAATGTCAAGTTGATGAAATTTGGGAAGACAGCTGATGTTGCAGCTGAAAGGTACGTATCTAGTCTTGTCTAAATTTACAGTAAGTACTTTGTTGTCGAGCCAAGTCTTAATATTGAGAAAATCTCTTTCAGCCATGCGTTTAAGTTCATCCCAATCAGGTGCTTCGTAGAAGATTGCAGTATCATCTGCAAATCCCACAATTCTGCCCTTACTAGAAATTGAAAACAGACCATTTATATAAATGTTGAATAAAATTGGACCTAGAACACTGCCCTGGGGCACCCCGTATTTTATTGGCTTTCGATCACTTTCCTCTCCACTTACTTTTACAGACTGATATCTGCTGCTAGACGTTTATTATTCTTACATAAATATAGATCATTAGGAAGTCAAGCGATTCTTGATAATTTTTCTGTTTCTATGAATTTATACAGGGATGAATGTGTATTATCCTTTCTGAATAAAAAATTATTAGTTTTCTTTCA